CAGTCGAGAACTTGGGATTCTCGACGAGAGAGAGCTGGGTTTCCATTTAAGAGAGCCCGAGCTTTCCACGCTCTCTGTCAGCAGGTTTTTCCAGCAGGAAGTCCCCCAGAGAGCTTCACACGCGCAGCGAGAGAGAGAGCGGAAAACTGCGAGGAAAGAGAGTCTATTAATAGACACGCGCGCACATTAGCTTTTCAGTATGAAGTTCAGGGAAATCCACTCGGAGCGAACAGCTGATCGCCGATCGCCAAGGTTGCTGCGCCGCCGGCGCTGATGACGTCGCCTAACGGAAAGCTTTCCCAGACATTCAGCGATCAGCGATTCGCATTGAAAACCCAATTGAGCGATCATATCAGCCCGTGGGGATCCCATCCAACTTGATATGATCCGTTAAGATCCGAGGTATATGAGATCTTCCCAGAAACCCACACACGCTTTGACCCAGATAACTTGTCGTCGGTGATATGAATGAATATCGCTTTCAGCCACAGACTAAAAGACAACTCATAACGCCGAAAAAACAGACAAGCTGAGAAAGCACAAAAAGTTAGGCGAATCTTTAAATACCCTTTAAAAGAAGAGTGGTTCCTGAAGATAGTACCTTAAGATTTATAAAGTTAAAAAATAGGATCTAAGGAAAGTATCCATAAAGCAATGTTTCGATGTACTTATTATAATTAAGTTATTAACCTATTTATCCAGATTTTTATGAGTAATAAAGTCTTATTCTCAATGTTTATTTATGTAAAAAAAAATGATATATGACCAAGAAAATAGTAACAGACAGACTGATGAAAGCTATTCGAACTTATTGTAATGTAATATATGTAGTTAACTGGGAACCAGTTCAGATCAATGACTAATAAAATGGCAACTTCAGTTCCCAGTAATGAAATATATAAAGTAAGGCTTTTGTTTTTAACTTATAAGTTATTCAAATTATTTAAAAACAAGAACAATGTATTTCTTAGGAATATTCCAGAAAGACTGCAACTTTAGTAGGGGATTACTCAAGACTTTTCGTCCCCCGAAATCATGTAAATGTTATCATGTATATGATAAAAAGTTCTTCAAGAAGATCCCCAAGCAAAGCTGGTGATTGATCTCTCCTTTGTTCATACTTTCCTCCGTTTGAAGTGTGAATTCTGGGAATAAGTGATCCAAAAGAGTATCCACACAAAAGCAAAAGGCCAAAAACCGATTCGGCATAACCGCAAGCAGAACTTTCTAAGTGAAAGTTGGCCGGGGATGGAGCTACTAGAAAATACTGTCAGTGCTTGTGACTCTTCGCCCGACTTTTAGTCAGTCACTCGGAGTGCGACGGGATGACAGCCCCCTTAAGTACCGCCCCCGGATCCACCCCAGTACGCAGCTCCGTCCCACGAGACCCACACACAGATACTCACACACACACACGGACGTATAACTTGACCTACATTTGTGCAAGACAATAACAACGAAAAAAAGCAACAAAATACACACACAAAACAAAATTTATACACAACGCTGTGAGAAAAGAAAAAAAAAAAGAAAAGGCAAGAAATTTCCAACGGTACATGAGCTGCTGGCCGGGTCTGAATCAATGTTTATATATGAATCGGCAGGGCTTCGGATTCCGAATCGGAATCACAGGCCCCTCTCTCTGGGCTTTTTTTATTTTTCTGAAAGTATTATTATCGTAAAATTGATTTCATTGAAGTTGAAGTCGAGTTGCCGTTGTTGTCGTATCGGTTTGGTCGAGGCTTTTGCACATATGTACACACGAGTATATCGCTTTCTGGTACACCCCGCTTATGTATTTTGATAATTAGGCGAAAGGTGAATGAACCCATTGGCTCGATGCCGCTGCTCCGCGTTCAATTTACACATTTTGGTATTTTGGTAAAAGAAATCGAGTCAGAGTCAGCAGACTGCAGCCCATGGCTCAACGGTTCCGCGTTGGAAAACGCTAGAAGACACCACAAATAGAAAGCGACAGTGGATGTCAAATCAATCTGGGACAAAATCAACTCTCTGGATGACTCGATTGGTTAGACTTTGCATATAGGTCTTTACTAGGATTTTTTATTATCGTAGAATTCGAATTTTGTTTATTTTTAAGAATACTAAATTAGATACCATAGACTGGTAAATAAGCAACTTCTCGGAGAATTATCCAAGTAATTACATATATTTCACTTAAATCAAGATCCTAAGTTAAAGGATCCTAAGTCAAAGCTTTAAAAAATGTTGGGTTACGTTGGGTTTCTATAGTTGTAACGTAAAAACAGGGCATGTGATATCTTAATAAAAACCCAAATCAAACTTTAAAATGTACACTTTTTGGAGAAAATTTTTAAAAGTTTTACTTAACTCCTATAAGTATTTTCAAATGTGACAAAGAAACATTGTGAAAAACTGTGGTTATGTTTTTGGAAAAATGTAAAACTAAAACTCTGTTGGAATTGAACCGTGCAAAAGGTCCCTAAATAGAAAAAATTCCTGTAACAGCCAAGAAAAAAATTTAAAATTGCAAACAAAATAACATTTGCAACTCAGGCAGGAAATTGTAGAGATCAATTTTCCGCAATAGATTTTTCCAGATTTTCCTGTCACCATCTGGAAACTTCACAGACCCCCAGATCACCACCAATAATTGCATTCGAATAAAATCCCCGAACAGCTCCATAAAAGCTGCTCTTTCACTGGCGTTTTTCCCTGGGCTGAACAACAACTGAAACCGAAAGATAAACAACAAACAGCACTCTCACTGCTTTTGGGGCAACTCGAGGCGAAGAGGTCAATGACTTGGTCCAATTTCCAGAAGATTGTCTCCGTCGCAGCGGGCAGAGCATCTGCTTTCCGTTCGATAGTGAGTTGTTTTCAGTGTAAACAACGGCACCCCAATGAAGACGACAACGTCAAGAGCAATGAAACGCGCAGTCCGCCAGCGAAAACAAATTCAATTCACTTTCTATTCCAATGAAAAATCGCTCAAAGCTCTAGCGGCGTCTCGGAAAAAAAAAACACAAAATATCAACAACAGTAACAACGAAAGTGGTAGACCAACACCACAACTTTGGTCTTGGTCTTGGTCATACAATCCATTGATCTTCAGTCGCTTTCAAGTGGGGTAAACAACGGAGCACGCCTCATCAACAGCAGCAACATCTACGACAACGGTTGGTACACTGAAAATAAATCACTGCTTTATTTGAATTTGAAACGTATTAACAGGGGTTTTAAGTTGGTATTATTAAATAATAAAATATATTAATCCGAATTACTCCAAACAAAAACTTTTAGGTAAAATTGACCTATATAATATAGTTAACTGATCCTAAACCCTCGAACCTTTAATTTTATCATAGAAATAGTTACTCTCACAACAAGAAATTAAACTCAACCTACCATTTTATGGTAGTTTTACTATTAAATTGTAACCAAAGCAACAATAAGGAACACGTCACTATGGTAAAGAGCTGTTGACCCTATTTTACAGTAAATTAAGTATCCGTACTGGTAAATTTTATCCATAGAAAGTTTTGACTGTATGTCTTTTTCTTGGAAATTGAATATAATAATATTTACTCATGATAAATAATTGTAACAATTTATTTATTATACTAACTGGTGAAGTAGTTATCCTAAAAAGGTATTGTTTTAATTAATGCTTATCGTTTTAGGAATTTAAAAATATATTTTCTAAGAGATTTTATATTGGAGTTATCTTAAAAAATAATCTTTTAATAAGTGTTTATTGTCTTAGGAGTTTAAAAGATGTATTCCTAGAGATTTTTTCTATATCCTTTGGCTAAATTTTTAGTCCAAATAAATTGTGTAATATTTTTTCCAGTGCACCATTTGAAAGCGACTCCAAAACTAACGTTTGATGTTGTTGGCTTTTTTGGCCTTAACGGTTTCCGTTTTTTGTGTGTTGGTTGTTGTTTGTTTGTTCAGCCAGCAGCCACATTTGTTGTTGTCGTTTCATTTGAATATCTAGTGAAAATTTCACCCAGACAAGTGCCTTTTGTTATATATTCAGTTTCAGTTTCATCTCTCTGGGTACCCTAAAAACAATATGAGAGTTTCTCCTAATTTGCAAATATCTTTTTCTTTCCTTGCTTTTATTTTTTTGGCAAAGCCAACACACCAAAAAGAGAGAAGTGAAATATTTAAAATATTTTTGAACTTGTTTTCGCATAGTTTTCAGACGATTCACGTGTCAAATCTTACAGTTCGGCTTAATCTGGCATTAGTCATGGAGTGGATTGTATTTGATTCACCACAGGGCGTATGCGCAATATGCAGGCGAAATGGGTCGCATGTCTTTAAAAGCAACATATGAGACATTTGTGCGAATGGGGGTTTCGGCTTTTCCCAGTACTCAAGGCAGACTTTGGCTTAGGGCCAACAAGAACCCAGGACTTAATAGGCCAACAGGGCAAAATATGCACCAAGAGGCACGTACGTTAAATGGTAAAAAAAAGGAAAATATAAAAAATTAAAAAAAATGGTAAGAGGTGGAAAAGCGCAGAATGAAAAGTGAAAAGTTTGTCAGCGGCAAAAGAGGCAGTCGCCTCTGAATGTCTTGGACTTGGTTTTGCCAATTGCAAATTACGTGCCATAAAAGCCAGGCAAACTGACGTTTGGTGTGGGCCGTTTTACCCTCTCCTTTTCAAAGCCCATTCCCATTTCCAATCCCAGGCCCATTCCATGTCCCACTCCCCCCCCGGGCGAACTCACCCACTCACTTGGCCACTTTCACGTCTAATGCCAAAACACGTTGCAATTTTCATTGCTTGGCACTGACTTTAGGCTTGTTGGCCAAGTCCAAGTTAACCGATTGCGCAGCCCCGCAGCCGTTTTGCAAAAATACATATCTATAATACAGTTTTGTGTACTTAGTTGTACTTAGTTTGCTGCCACTATCAGTGACGTCAGCAGGGGGGGGGGGTGGCAGCAGCAGCACCTGTGCAAACCTGGCAAACTTGGCAAATAAATTGCGTAACTCGAGTCAGTCTCAGCATCTCTACTCACGCTACTCTGCGAACCGCCCACTAGCAGCTAGATTGTGTAATAAGCACATGACAATTAATTAATAGCACCCAAACCCGAACGCACGCGCCTACAGCCCGTAAAATCAAACAGAAATAGCTTCGAAAGCAGCCAAGTACGCCGTTTTTGCGACAATTCAATTAAAAACCTATTACACATTGTTTTTGGCAACGCGAAGCCCTTGAATGGGGTATACCGAATTTCAGCTGGTCAAACAAAAAATATATCTATATAGTTTCAGATACTGCCAGGCTCAACAATAGAGAACACGTGTAGAATTTGAGTGCACAGGGATTTATTTTTAAGCAGCTTATTAATTTGTATTTTTAAAGATGCTAATTTATTTAACTAAAAGTTACGTAAGTGTATTTACATTTTATTATATTCAAAATAAATTTACAAATTGGTAATGCAAATATATTTCGGAGTAGCTACACGAATTATCTACATTTTTAATACTGTCTGATTGTCAAGTAACCAGATCTTTAAAAATTCTGTAAACCATATTAAAAATTATAAATATGATTTATTGAATTCGAAACAGAACCTAAGGACTATAATGTAGATGGGTAACCCTAAAAGTGACCTTATAATTAATAGATTTAATGTAACATTTCGTAAAACTATATTATAACTTTTAGGTAAGCATGTTTAGCTGAAATATTATTAGGATACCCCAGTGTTTTCAATAAATTTTCTCTAATTAACACTGTTACAAGCCCTAAGAGCAATAAAAATTCGACGTGCCGGAGGTGTTGGATTATTCATAATTGTTTTATATGTAAAACTATCAAAGTATTTGGCCAAAGCAGACAGAAAGAGGCTCTCGAGTTTGGAGCTCCCCAGACGGCAAACGAAACGTGAGCTGGCCAAAACACACACACTTTTACCAAAAGCTGGCTACCTGTGTGTTTGTACACCTGTCAGGTGAGACTCTTGTATGCTTTTGTTTTTCCCTTTAATTTTTTTGGGGCCTGAAGCTGAAACCAATCCATCTAGCGCCTCCTCTATCAGCATAACAATTAAGCTTAAATACTTTTTGCTTACTGACTGGCCCCAAAATGGGATTATTCACACTTGATTAGAGGCATGTGAAAATGTATATTTTTACTTTTTTCTTTTTCTAGAGCTACAACCTGCACGGGGCTATCAGAATTCATTCAAAATTGAAGATACAATCCAGAAGAGCGAGATACGATGGGCTACGTGACAATATTTTATGAGGCAGTGGAGGAAATAAAATGCAGATCAAAGAAGACGAAAGAAGTGTCGCTGTAAATGTAAATGTGTTTTCGATCTTTAAAAATAGGTTTTGAGATATTTATCTGTAAGATACTTTCAAGCTTAAAGATACAAGTGTATTTTTCGATGGAGCTTTCAATGCATTTTTCGTTTGGCTTTGACCAAAAATATTTCCCTTTCCTGTGGCCACATAAAAAATAAATTCAAATAGACGCAACAAATAAAAATAAAACATAAATAAATACACACACACAAGCGCACTGAGAGAGGGAAAGAGAGGGGTAGAGAGAGAGCCAGCATAGCAACATACAACAAAAATAAGTTCATTGAACTATTTGTGAGCTTTTTCGGTGTGTGTGTCTGTAAAGGTGTGTATCTGTGTTTCTTTAGTTTTATTCGTGGATTATGGTATCATAGCACATAGCTTCTTCTTCGAAAGGTTTTCGTCTGCTTCTTCCTGACCATTTTTTCTTTTTTTCTTCATTTTTTTGTTTGAGGTGTCATGTGCTTCTTTTGGGTCTTGGATTTCGGCCTTTGTTTGCCGGCATTCGATGGTAATGTAAACTTTTATAATGAAATTAAAATTGATAGCAACACACAATTGTGATTAATCATAAGTGGCCAGTGAAGTTGGCCCTTTTCTTGTTCCACACACTTTCAGCCCAGTCATTGTCCATCCAGGAATGCCCGAAAAAAACCCAGCCCATATTAACCCATTATTTGCAATCCGCACTTTAGTCGCGACATTTAATTCCCCGTAAAAAAAGGGGTGCGACCTTGGGCTCAGCAGGTGAGAAGCGAAGCACATTAAAAGCAAGTCCTCTGTATAAATTGAAATTTAAATTAAATCCCGAACAATACAACGGCGAGCATTACGATTGAAAGTATTCCTATCACACATTAAACAAAGCAAAACTCGTCTGCTTGCTGGCAAACAGAATGCACTTAATTAACTCGATTCAAAATACATTTCTGTGTCGATTGTGTTTTATTTTTTTGGGAACAAACGAACAATGTCAGTATCCCAATAGTCTTGGGACCATGCCAGACGATCGTTGGCACATTAGTCTTATTGTTATTATATTTTCTTATTGCACAGATTAGCACCAATTAATTACTTTATCGTATTTTAAGCGAAACAAGTATTTTACTTTGTTTATTGTTATATCTCTCTGGATGCTTTGGCCAGAAATACACCCAAAACCGGAATATGACGTTAACTGGGGGAGTTGAAGCCGATTACATGGGAATATTTTGGAGCTGTGTGATCTAGTTAGCGATCAAAGGCGAGCCAATTATAATAAAATACAAATAAATATTTATCAGCGATTAGCATATTTAAATAATCTGTTTAAATTATTACATGCATATGTTTACCGGCTTATGGTAATCACTTAATTTAATAAGACGATATATTTTTATTTGCATTATTTAACGTATTATTTACAATTTAATTTAACATTTTTTAGGGACTACCATACTGTTCAAATTAATATTTATGCAACGATCTTTGTAAGAAACATTTTTAAATTATTGGTAAGTCCATAATAATTTAAAGTAGTATTTAAGGTTAAGTTCAGAAATTATAAGGGATTAGCATTTAGCTCAAATTAATATTTTTTGAATAATCTTTATTAGAAATGTTATAGTTGTATTGTACAATTCATAAATATTAACAAATTTTATTAAATTTCCTTACATATTTAGAGAATACCATACAGTACAAATTAATAGTTGTGTAACGATCTTTATAAGAATCATTTTTAACTTATTGGTAAATCCATAATTGTTTAAAGTAGTATTTAAGATTACATTCATAAATGGTTAGGGACTAGCATTGAGTTCAAGTTAATATTTTTGTAATAATCTTTATTAGAAATATTATAATCATATTGTGCATTTCATAAAGATTACATTATTTTCTTAAATTTTCAATACATAACATATTTATTATTTACAAATTTCATGATTTATTACTTCCTCTACAGAAGTCACTTATTTTGCATTACAAAAGTTCACGATCGCGAACTGCACGAAAGTATAGAATGGCATTCACCCCATTTATGGCATGTGTCGCATTAAAAGTTTGGCTTTTGCATAAACCAGATCAATAACCATACAAATGGCTCTAAGGCGTTTAATGCACAAAATGCGCCACAGTCTGTGGATCCCTGCAGTCCCCGAACCGAAATCCACCCCCAGCAGTACAATTACCACCTACGGCGAGTAACGCCGATTGCTGACAACATAAATAAATAATTAATAAATTAGAATAAGACGAGGAACACCGGGCACATGAGCCAGTTTACGCGACAGAACTCGTGCCACACTCAAAGCAAGACTCAAAGCCAAGTTCAATATCAAATAACACGCGCTATGCTCGAGCTTGAGATCAGTCAGCTCAATGATCGTATCATATCGTATGGGATCGTATCGTATCGAATCGAATCGGCTGGGAAAATACGCCTAGTCATAGATATAACACACGCACACACTAGATCGTAGCCCAGATCTGATGGAGAACAGGAAGCATTACGGAGATAAAAACGCCATAAAAGCCGATTCGCAATAAATCAAAATTAGCACCATACAACTTTGGGCCAAAACACACGCCCTTTGGCCGCGGCTAAAAGCCCCGTCCCGCTCGCTCCCCCCTCCCCCGCTGCATCTGTCTCGCTCTATCGCTAAGTGCAGGTTGCAATCAATGCCGTAATAGCAACAACAACAGCAATAACAACTTCCGTATTTCATGCGCTGTAATTTAGCTCAAGTAACAAAATGCAAAGCCAAACTAAATGTTGACGGTGACGCGACACGACGCGAAAGTTTAAGCTGAGAGCAGACCGGTGCACTGAGAAAAAAATGGGTTAAAAGTGCAGTTCCAATCGATTGGGAATTACAGAATAAATGTAACTTAAGATACTACGGATATTCGAATTTTATATGCCCATTTCCCTGACATGTAAAATGTATGAGGTACCGATTATAGTACTAATTAGACCCAAACTTCACAGAAAATATCTTTGTGTATATAAATATATAATGTAGATTAAAAATAATTCCAATTTAAGAAAGTAGAACAAAAAAAGTATAAAATATGGGTTCAAAGACCAGTTCCAAACGTTTGGGGATTACAGATTAAATTTAACTTAAGATAATACAAATATTCGAATTTGGTAAGCCGTTATCCCTATTATTATTTATTCTTTTAACGCCAAATTTCCTTAACATGGAATCTTTTTGAATGAGTTTATCCTTAAAGTAATATAAATATATAAATAGGATTATAAAAAAGTCCCATTTAAGATTGTAGAAGCAAGAAAATTATGTCTGAAATATGAAGTTAGCCTACCTATGTGTCATATTTTTTTAATCAGATTGATTTTTATAAACGGATTATATGTAACCTGCTCAAGAGCCACTTCATCCATTTTTATATATTAATAGAAAAGTTAATCCCTTAATAATAAGTCATGCAATATTCCACTAAAACTTGTATTTTATCGTTAGTATCCCCTAATTATGTTGCTCTTCTCCAACTTCTCTATATCATATGATATATTATAATATATTTATGACATAAAAAAAGTATCTTTAATACTTTTATTTGGATTACAATATTTATAAAGTCGTGTGTTGACCATATATTTTTTTTCCGTCTGCCATCTGTAAGCCGAATCGACTGCCAAGTGCCAGCTGTGAACTGCAATCCAATATTTGCAATGTGCGAGCTGGCTAGCCGAAAGGCGACTCCCAGCACGTCTGCATTCGATGATTTGCTTCGATTTCGTGTTTACATACAAATTGACATAATTTGTTTATAAATGTTTAATGATCGGCTGGTGACCGGGCCCAGACGCAGATTGTTTACCACTTGCAATTGTGCAAATACACAAATATACAAAGCGAAAAAGAACATGCTAATGCAGATATCATAATGCGAAATACACTTGTGACATTTGATGCCATAAATTAAAATACTTAATGCCCTCCAAGACACACACAATTGTTCAACATCATTCCAGGCAGTTTATAAATAGGTGATATTTATTAATTGAACCGAACGCCAACTCAATAATTAGATTTATTTACAAGTCTAACTTGTTGGCAGCAGCCGACAAACAAAAAGCGAAAACCAAATCACATAAATAAAAGCCCATGAAATTCCCAAATCCAGAAAATCGTGCGATTAAAACTGGATATGCATATCCTTAACTTTTATTCAATACGGATTTTAATTATTGTAGAGATGTTGAAATTATCGAATGGATTGCATAACACCCGAATCATCAGCCAGAAGAAGAAGCAATCAAATGCGCAGCCGGGAACGTTTGGAGAAAAAATAAAGGAATACGAAAGGGGAAAAAATTAATTAACATATTTTTATATTAAGTTGTCTTGACGAAAGCCATCCGAGCGTTTGCATATAATTAAGGGATTTATGTACGCAATAGCAATAACGTTCGTAGATAATAACAGTGTCTATTTGAAAGAACTTTATTTTGAGGCTGGGGTACGTAAATAGGTAAATTGGGAAGAATCGTGATGGTTCTTAGAATTATGAACTAGTACCTCTCAAGAATTTGTAAAGCTTATATAAAAAAGGGGTTTTTGAAGACAAGATTATAGCTATAATAGTTTTAGACAGTAAGCTGAAATAATGATATACAAATAGGGGCTTATAGAAGTCTTGCCTTAAAATAAATATTGTGTATATAATATGTTATTAAATAACGAATACAATATAAAAGTAAATAATAAAAATGAAAAATATAACACAGACCTTAAAATAACTTAACACAAATGATAAGACAATTGAATCATTTACGTAAAGATTCGGCACACTTTCCAAAAGTTCTGGTCTCGCCCCTCCAAAAACGTATTAATACACTCCACAAGCGGCTTATGGGCGGTTCAAAATCAAAATCGAAAACCCAACCCAGTCGCGTTCCAACTGACGCAAATGAAGGCACCATAAATTGTATATATATATCAGCGGTATAACGAAATCGACCCCCGGGCAATACGTGTACATAAGTGCATTATTAGCGCTTTCATGGAATTGGAAATGGAAATGTCAAATGGGCGCTGGATACACAGTGCGTAGAAATAATAGACTGACGACTGCGACTGTCGACTATTGGCCAAAGTCGAGTAGATCGGTCTCTCTGACATATTGGCATATATAGCCGCCCGGCC